CAGCTGTGCAAGGGGCACCAAGGCAACGAACCTGGACACCTCGAGCCTGACCTCATGAAGGATCTCCAATTTGACCGCCGGCGGGTAGTGCTTGAACGAGGTCGCCTGAACATGCTCATGTAGACCAACCCTCCGGCTATCACCTGCATCTGCTTCTGGGAACACCTCTTCTCCCCTAATAGGAGACCTGCCAATTGGACGTACTTGAGCACCTTCATCGGCTTGGGGTACGCAATGCCTTTCGCTCCATCAATGATCGCCCCTTGTACCTCTGCCTTCAACGACCGGGCCACCCCCTTTTTTGGGCGCCGTGGGACGCCCCATCTCTCATACTCCGCTCTCAAGGCCAAGACGTTGGCCCCTGGCTCCCCTTTTAGGAGCGTGGCTGTGCGTTTGTCCATCTTTTCCAGGGCGTCGAAGTTGTCAAGATAGACTCGATGAAGGCACGACGACGACGAGAACGGACGGTCCTTTCGAATCTCTTGTTCAGGTCGGAGAGAGCTATCCAAGGCAGACCCCGCACGCCGTACCATAACTCTGTGCACGTGCTGTGCCAGGCTTACGCTGTTCTTAAACCCCATTGGCAACACCTGTGATGCCAGAAAGTAGGGGCCATCCTCATCTGGCCACATGTCGCGGGGGATAGGTGTTTGTTGAAGCCTAAACACGATGACCATTCCCTGCAAACCTGGAAGATAAAAGAAACACCTCACATCCTCCGAGGATATCACCAGGTCCTCACTGGGCATCAACTGCAGTGGGCTCATTGTGGCCCAAGTGGGGAGCGTCGATACGTCTCCGTCGATGGCACGGCATACTAAATTAGCTGGCCGAAGATCCATGATTAGTCTGTGAATAGGGCACCCTTCTTCCACCCCCCCTTTTGGGACTCCGAAGAGCCCGTTCAGGAGGGGTTGGCCATCAACATGAAACAGGTCTCATCGCAATGCACACCCCTCTCCTCAACAGCCCTTCACACACCCCTGGCCAAGCCTCTTCGCCAACCAGCACGCGAGGTGGCTTCATTGGCTTTTGCATCTCCTCAGGCAGAATGTACGAGGTGAAGTTCATGACGTAATGACGACAACCCAGCTCACACACATCAGCTAGGGGGACCGAAGCGATCTCCATAGGCATGGCAGGGGAGAGGCTTTCCCAGGTTGTATGCTGTGCGCACAAAACTTCTTCTCCACAATAGTCAATCGTCTTTACCTGAAAGAAGTCATGCCAGGTGGTGTCCTCAAACCTTTCCTGCCACTCTATCACTTCGTCTGCTCGACTCACCAAAAACCGAAGGACCCTTTCTTGAAGAGGACACGGGAGAAAAGAACTCTTCACTTCCACCCCGTAAAGGCTGTTCAACGACATGCGCGTGCCATCTCAGAAAGTAACGGGAAGACGTCACCCGTGGGCTTGGTCGTGCGCTGCATTGGAAGGTCCAACATACAAATTGAGTGATCTAAGATGGAGGAAACCCAAGGAAAAACGACATTCAACTTCTCTCCCGAAAATGGCGGCTTCATGCAACTTTTTCTCAAGGGTGACTCAGGCTCAAAGGCGTCGTCACCTGGAGTCTCGGCCGGGGCAACCTCCTTGAAATGGCGCCTCTCGGCTGCTGTACCCAGTGCGGCTTCATCCAACGATGGGTTTGCTACACTGCCACTGGAAAAAGGAGCCTGACCACATTGAAACGATCGTAGGCCTTCATAGTCTTCATATGCCTCTTGTTGCTCACCTTCCATCAACTGTCGCTCTTCTTGCCCGCGTCCTTCTCCTTTCCTTTTTTGCCCTTTCCTTTGCTGTCTTTGCCTTTGCCCTTTTCTTGATGCCACGAAGTGTCTCGCCAGCTTCCTGGCCACTTGCTCTTTCCTTTTCCTTTGCTGGCCTCCGCCCGGGTGCGGTTCTCCTCTTTGGACTCCTTGATGGCCTCGCGAGCTTCTGTCCGACTGGAGATGATGGGTTTCTCCAATGGAACCAGTTCGATCCTCTGAGAGATCGACCAGCTCGCTCCTTGCGCGCTCATCTCTATTGCCTTCAGCCTCTGCATGAGCCCATCTGCTGCCTCCGCCACCCTCCCCTGCACTAGGAGGTCCAGACACCAGCTCAGAGTTAGTGCCTCTCGAGATTGGCCCCGGTTAGCCTCGAGCTGAGTACTTGACGGAAGTACTGGCAGCATATGGGTTGAAGAGCTCCTTCTGATTGGTCCCAAATGCCCCCCGTGGAGTTCAGCAGGTTGCTGGCCATCTCTTTGCATCCCGCTGTAGTGAGGGCACCTGGAGCTATTCGCCCAATCTTCCTCACTTTTTGAGTCTCTTCGAAAAGCTCTCCGCTCTCCTCGGTCGTCGATCCACTTTGACTGCTCGTGGACGAACTTCCTGATGAGCTCTTCTTCTTCTTCACCCTGCGAGCGGCTTTTGCGGCCACTTTCTTCCTGACCTTGGGGTCTGGATCCATGCCTGTGCCCATGAACACGCTTTTCCAACTCTTGCGTGCCATGGCCTTGGCCCGAGCTTCCCTTCTTCTCCTTCGCCTTGGAAGACTTTTCCTCGCCTGAGGATCTCCCCTTCTTCCTTTTCTTCTTCTTCTTCTCCTTTGCTGGACTCCGTCCGCGACCTTTCTCTTCTTTCTCTTCTTCTCCTCCTCCCTTCACGGCTTCCGTGGTCTCTGCTTCTTTGGCCGGGGCTTCTTCGACCAAATTCATGGCCCATGCTGGGTCTTCTCCTTTCCGAACCTTCCAACATTGCCTCGCAGCGGGCCCCACACATGTGAACTCTCATCACCTTGTCGCTTGCGCCCGAGGCCCACCTCAAGATGGGTTCGGTCGTAGTCCCCTGCAGCTCCACCTCGACCTCTATGTCTTCTCTCCCCGGACTTGAACGCCTCTCACAAGTCCTGAGATCTCGGCAGCACTGCCCCAGTAGCGGCCCTTGATCTCCACCGGAAGCCTCTTTCGAAGCGTCTCCAAAGGGACGGCCTGACATGGTGTAGGTTGCCCCTCTTCAAGGAGTCTTCCTTCTTCAGCTCTGCGACCCCTCTCTTCACCCGCGCCTCCTGGCTCAGCAGCAGGGCGTCTGTGCACCCTTCCTCCCCTTTCTCCAGGAGGTTCTTCCACTTCTCCTCTACCTCGACGAACCCTTGCCGCCGGTCTTCTCAAGGCCATCGAAGCCTTGACTGGATGCCCTACTACCTTCTATAGTAGTACTGGGCCTCCTTCTTTTTCTGTCCTTTGTTGACCCCCCAATACTGGGGTTCACGATGCCAAGCCTTGATAGGTCCACTCCAATCCCTGCCTGTGGGTCAAGCAACTGGATCTGGTGGTCCATCTCGTCGTTCCACTGGAGGTTGCTTAGGAGGTGGGCCTCCCTGTCTCCGGGTGGAGATCTGGATGGTGTTCTTGGTGGCCTGACTGATGGCTTTGCCTTTTTCTCCTTTCCTTTCTCGGACTGCTCTTTCTTCTTGTCTTGGTCCTCCTTTGCGTGCCTTGACCTTCTCGACGAACTTCTCCTCCTTCTGCGACGGGATCTTCTGCTCCTTGACCTGTCTCGCTTCCTCGCACTCCTGCTCCTTTTCTTTGGAGTCTTTTCCTCTTTGGGCTGCTTTGATCCACTGGAGTACTTTCCTTCCTCTCCAGGCGAATCCACTTCCTCCACTCCGGGAGTTCCTTTAGGGCTGTTGGGCTTGTCTCCTTCCTTTTTTGGGACTAGATCTGCCTCCTGCTCCTTACTCCCCTTTGTAGGAGTCTCTCCACGAACCACCGGGCTTGCCGACTTTGAGACTGCCGCTGCAGTGGCGGATGCTCTGGCTTTCTCGGACTCCTCGAACCGGTCGATCTCTTCCTGAACGATGCCAGTCCAGATCCGAACGTTGCTGATGCACCAACCTCGCAACCCGATCGGCAAAGCGTCCACGGTGGTCCACCACCTAGTGCGAACTCTGCAAAAAGTGCAGATCTGGTCCAGTTCGCCTGTACGTACCCCGCACTGGGAGCAGGGGTACATGCAAGCAGCTGTGAGCCCAAACCCTTCGGGAGAAAATGATTAGACCTAGTTCGTCTTAACTGACGGGGCCGTAAGCTCATATAGAACAGACCTACACAATCACAGTCTCATTGCAGTTCAACCAGTGACAGATTCACCCCAGGTTGGCTTCTAGAGTTGGATGTGTTGGCTCACGGAATCATACAATGGACCATGTTCCCTTCCTAACATCCAAGCACCCTCCTTCAAACAGTCACTGGGAGTGGCTAGAATGTGTTCACAAGTGGAGCCGGGTTCAAACACCACACCTACGTTGGCGGCCTTCCAGAATTCCTACTTGCACCTATATGAATAGCAGCAAGTGCAACCACCAGAACTAGAGAGCCCAGGGCAAAGAGCTTGAGACGAGGTACAAATAGAGAAACATCAATTGTATGATATACTATCCAAAGAGAGGTAGAAATAAGAACAATCAGCTGAGCTATGCATTGACAGAAGTATACACAGGAAAAGGCGGTACAAACATACCGGCAAACAAACACACCAAGTAGATGTGAAAAAATGTAGGTGGGCATGAATACAGCCGACCACAGAAAAGTTGCAGTTAAAGGGCAAGTATCAAACACGCAAACTGTGCCATAGATAAAACAGAATTGGGTTGGTTGATTTGGATTGTGTAGATGATAGATGGTAGAGAGGAAACAAGAATAGAAAACATAGCAAACAGTCAGTCGCATCACATCTGTCGAATGGGCCTCACATTGCCTTGCAAAAACAAAACTGCTTTGAAAAAAGATCGGATTGGTCCCGAAACACTCAACAGCCTCAAGGCACAACGGCACACCAGTCCCCTTTGCCGCTTCAGCGGCCGGTCAACTAATCCCCACAGGCACATCTCAAGGCTTTGCCTGGACATTTGCACAATTGGGTGTTGCCATGGATTGTCCCCAGTTCTTTCCAACTGTTGGTTCCTGTTCTCACAAAAATAATGCACATCTCATCTGGCTCCCACCCAGCCCACTCCAGGACAGCTCGAAGCGGTGGGCCGCACGTGTCCGTACCGCTGCACACAGTGCCACGACTGGGCGAGGCGAAAAGCTCATGTTCCCTGTTGAAAGCACTCGGCAAAGGAATACAAGGTCTAAGGAGTCTTACAAGAGTTCGGTGCATAAACGACACGAATCCTCAACATGTTGTTCAAAGAATTGAAGGCAACAACAGCTTATATTATATATATATGCAAAGAAAAAAGGTGGCTAAACGATGCCGTGATCCCCGACCCCAGTTCTACCTGAATTTGACCGGTAGAGTGGAAGGCCAACATGCCCTATTGCCACATCCTGCCATGCACCAGAAGAATTTCACACTTAAGGCAAGGGCAGCTGTGCATCCACCAGCAAAAGCCCTTTGTCTTGGAACCTCATCGGTGGACAAAGCAAAGAGAAAGCAAAGCTTTGCAACAACACACCTGATGTTTAAAGAAATGTGTTGTTGCAAAGACAAATACACACACCTTTGTATCTAAGTATACAAATTCAAATACTCCTTAGACACTTCTACCACAGCCAGTCAACTACAGCCGGTATTGACTATGGCCAACCCTTAAATCTAAAGACCAAAAGATGAACATCCAAACAAAAAAACTTAGGAAACTCCTAATCATATCCTAATCAGTCTCTCCTGGCACAACGGAAAATGCCCAAAGCACGCCAAACTGACTCACTCAGATAGTGGCAGCTCAATCTCGACGGCATCTGGTAAACCAAAGCCTCTGTCAAGGAGACACACACACAAAGTACGAGGCTTTTTGAGGGGGCACTCTTGCTTCTAGCAATTTGATTCAGCGTGGCATCTCTGTCAGCATGTGACGGAAACGGGTTGAGTGTAATGCCATAGCCGGCACACAATCCGCCTCTGGGCAAAGCCGGACCGCTTGGCCATGCTCGGCCTTGGAATGGTGATTGGTGCGTGGCAGTCGATTTCTGCGAAGTGTGATCCAGTTGTTGAATGGCAGCTGCATGCTTGGATTCTGAGTGGATTTTACAATGTTGATCCTAATGCCATAAACTCTTAGGTCTTGACAGCCATACACAAGTTGCACAAGGGGCATGGATGGCCGGTCAGTCCTAGCATGCCCTGCAACATCAAAGAAAACTCTCATGACTTCATGACTTCCGGTAGCCACAAAGCAAGCTACTAGTAACAAGGGCATCCCTACTAGTAACAAGAAGCTACTAGTGGCTGCAGCACAAATTAGTGCCCACAAGATCGAAGCATCCTCACAGCTTTGTTGGGCTTCCGGCAAATGCCACGTTGTAGATCCAAATCTAGGTCGAAGTAATGCAGAAAATCCACACCTTGATCAAAGAATGTGGAGGTCCGTCGCTGAGTTGCATAGTGCTTTAGGGCTATGGAGCTGCAATTCCATCTTGCTCTCTTGCTGCCATTGTATTTAGCTTGCTTGTACACGTCTCCGAGACAGAATGTTGTATACATGTGCTGATAACAAATATAGTATTAAATCGAAGGCAAACCAAAACATCCAGGCCTAAAAGCCCAGAAATGTTTGCACGGTCTGGTCCAAGCCTGACACACATGAGTGCCACCACATGCGTCCAGCGTCAGCTTTGTTAGGTCTTCCAAATTTTGGGCTTGGAACTGTGAATCATGTCACGGGAAATGCTTAAAGAAAAAGAAACACATCATGACATCATGCCGCATTTTTTAACGGACGGTAGGCGCGAGATGGACTTTTCGGGGTAGGCCGTAGTCAGACCAGGAGGTAGCTAGTAGTAAGATCATGAAGGTAGTAGCCATCACGCTACTGGGACGCAAAAAAGCTCAGGCTTCTTCTTCTTCATTGAATCGAGCTCAGGCTTCTTCTAGACTTTTGGAGAACTTAGCACTCTCTCGATGTTTCGGAAGCCGTTGGTGCAACACGACGACATCATACCATTTAAAGGAAGAAACAATGCGGTGCTGCATCCATAGAAGTTAGAAGGGCAAACACATCTAGCTTGGTGGAGTTCCAGAGTCCAGAAGTCAAAGAAGAAAACAATCGGGAAAGCCACGTTGAGACAGATGTTAAGAAGGGGCGACACAGGCAGACAAGCGAGGCAGTTGTGGTCTCACATGTGTGTGCTGCCGCTGGGAGGTAGTGTATGTCATAAAACTGACCCGACCTATAAATGGCCTCTACTGACCAGACTCTACTGTAGACTTTAGAATCTGTTGTCCCCGCATCTGGGCACCAAACACTACGGAGTCATCTGGCACAATTTGCACCTGGGTATTGGAACTGCGAGGGCTCGAAGGTGGGGTCAGGTAGCACCTGTGATGAAGTAGTACATGTGGAGAAAATTATGGCTATCACATGGGATGCATCTGGCTTTCACACATGGAGGAGAACCATCAGGAATGTGTACAACAGCATAATTGGCAGCATAACACAACCCTTGGTAACAGCAATGAAAAGCAACTCGTCTTCTCAATCTGCAACCAAGTCTCATCGAGGCTTCCTACTGGTTCGCTCGCAAAACGCAGGCCACTGCAAGGCCTCCGAAAGACGAGCCGAAAAGTGAGCAGGTGAAGTAACCAGAAAGGATACAAAAATAGATCAAAATAGAAAACTGATGGTGATGCCTTCCAACCTAGTAGGAATGACCTCCAACCTAGAAGCGATGGCCTCTAACCTACTAGGAATGGCCTCCAACCTAGAGCACAAATTGTTTCCTCAAGCGGAAACTTTCAGTTCTATCTTAGCCTTCCAACACTGCCGAGCTCCTCTGCGATGCTTGCCCGCACTGCACTCCTGCGAGCACTCGGCAATCAGTCACAAGTGAGTGCACTATTATGACTATCACAGTGTTTCTTGTGGCTTTCTCTGTTCACACCGGCAGTTGTGGGATTTCTTTCGATGACAACAAATCGGATAGCTCAGCAAATGGCCTTTTGAGCGAGGTATCCAACCTCAAAGCAGTACAATGACAAACACTAAGTGAACTAGTGGCGCAGTGGCGATAGTCGATTTATCGGTGTGGCCGGTGGCCGTGGCCGGTGGCCGCTGGCCGGTGGCCGGTGGCCGTGGCCGTGGCGGTGCACGCTGGTGGCC